CTCACAGATCTACAATTCCCAGTGTTTCCTGGGAAGTGGGTTAAACCACTCAAGACTGTAGCTCTGCTGGGGGGGGGGATAGAGGTCCCCTAACAACTCCCAGCGCCCTTAACAAACTACAGTTCCCAGGGTTCCTGATACAGGATTGCCTATACAGCGGTACCTCGGGTTAAGTACTTAATTCATTCCGGAGGTCCGTACTTAACAGGAAACTGTTCTTAACCTGAACCACCACTTTAGCTAATGGGGCCTTATGCTGTCGCCGCGCCACCGCAGCATGATTTCTGTTCTCATCCTGAAGCAAAGTTCTTAACCTGAGGTAATATTTCTGGGTTAGCAGAGTCTGTAACCTGAAGCGTATGTAACCTGAAGCGTATGTAACCCGGGGTACCACTGTACAAGATTGCCTCCAGATGGCTTGGGGTGTCGTATAATTCCATACAGTGGTACCTCGGGTTACATACGCTTCAGGTTACATATGCTTCAGGTTACAGACCCAGAAATAGTACCTCGGGTTAAGAACTTTGCTTCAGGATGAGAACAGAAATTGCGCGGCAGCGGGAGGCCCCATTAGCTAAAGTGGTGCTTCAGGTTAAGAACTGTTTCAGGTTAAGAACGGACCTCCGGAACGAATTAAGTACGTAACCAGAGGTACCACTTGTACCCTCCAACATCTCTCCAATGAAAATAGGGACGTCCTAAGGGAAAGCGGGACATTCCGGGATCATATCAGAAACCGGGATCTAAATCAGGGATGTCCCTGGAAAATAGGGACACTTGGAGGGTCTGTTATGGGATTATCCCAAATTACAAGAGGGGGAAGGAGAGGGGGAATCCTAGCCACACACTCCAAAACATGCCTATAAACCTCCATCATTAAGAACATGAGAAGAGCCTGCTGCTCTCAGTGGTCCATCTAGCCTAGTCCTGTTCTCACAGCGGCCAACCAGATCCCTGTGGGAGACCCACAAGCAAGACATAAGCACAGCAGCAGCATCCCTGCTTGCCATTTCCAGCAACTGGTACCCAGAAGCATTACTGCCCCTGATCTTGGAGGCATATAACAGCTGTCAGGGTTAGAAGCCATTGGCAGCCATCTCCTCCACGCTTTGGTCATGCCCCAGCCCAACGAAAAAGCCCCAAATTATTGAGCTGTACCTTCGCTAAATCTGTGTTTTCCTCTGGAGTGCATTCAAGGCTCTATTCGTTCATGGTTTAAAAGAAAGTCACATCTCACGTCTTGCACACCTTCCTTCTCAGTACTGTGTGTTATCAGTAGGCCTCCTATCGACACTTAAGAAATAAAGAGCCAGCAGCGTCAAGTGCCAATACACAATATTGTACCAATACACCGAGCGATGTTTAAGGCGTGACGAAATATGGAGGTACTAAAGTGGAAACAGCAGCAGTAACTGACTGTGTCAGCATTTCCCATGCAATGCCAGGTGTATACTGGATTAAAAAACCAAAGTACATTCAGAAAGATAGCACATGCCTCACACATGGTATGTGTGTCCTTAAAACACACACACATACTACATAACCAACAAGACCCACAAATTCACGAATAAGCTTAATATGTATTTAGTTCTTGTCTTTTCCTGGGAAGAAAAGGGGAACAGCCTGTTTGTGTCATAAAAAATCCAATCTGCATTTCCAAGACTATACTCTCTTGACAAAAAGGAAATCAATCCGTTAAATGAGTCCTTACCAACCAATGATGAACCAGAGGAATCACTTGGTTACACAAGATCGTTTTGAGAACCTTTCCCAAAGATCCCGTATTAACTGGGACGTATTAGAAAAATAATTAATAACCAAATTGGATTTGTAACTAGTTGTTTTATTATCATCATGTATTGTCCTGTTTGTAGTGTTTGTTAACTGAAGTATAAGATGTATAGCCATATATTTGTGGGTCTTCTTGTTTGGGCATGTTATATAGGGACTATTACTGCACACAGCATTGCATTTTTTAAACAAAAACACCATCGAGACGACCTCCATGTTGTGAAAAATGGGTTCACCGTCACTTTGCAAATGTGGAACTTTTTATTTCGGGAGAAGTAATGGCTTGTGAATGCCGGGCGTTTGCCACCCACTCTTCACACTGAGCCTGCATCCTGAAGGTCGGAGTTGCCAAACATCTGAAATCCCCTTATTAACAGTCGCGAGAAGGAAGCTGGAAAGTTAACACTTTTTCCCTAAAGTTCACGAAGATGCAAAGTCTCCAGGATCAGAAACACGCGAACTGTATGCATGATTATACACCTGAACTCTGTTCGGGGAGCACATTTGTGAGTCTACCTACACAATATGGCCCAGCTACAGACACCACTGAATATTCAGCATTCAACCCTTTTAACATTCCCAGATATTTAAGCAAAAGGGTTTGCTTTTATTTATTTATTTCAGCTTGCTTTGCACGTACCAGTACCTGCAAAGGAGGGAGATGCAACCCAAACCACATGCAAAGGCATCTATAATGGAGGTGTAGATTTAGCAGGACAATGGGAACACAGCTCAGTGGTTCTGCTTTTTTGCATGCAGAAGGTCACGAGTTCAATCCCCCTCATCTCCAGAAAGGGCTGGGAAATTCCTGCGTCTGAAACTCCTAAAGGGCCACTACTAATCAGCAGACATCACTGAGCTACTGGGAACAACGGTCTGACTCTGCATAAGACAGCTTCCTATGTTTCGAACTCCCAGTCCATAAAGCTTGCTTGTAGGAGAGGCTGCTGGTCCAAAACTCTATGGCAGCTTCTTCTTCGCTTCCCCTGAAGTGCTTTTTGGGTTTGTAGGCCATCCAAGGCACACCGCTAGTGTTTGCCAAAGCGAGAATCTAACATACAGTCACCTCTGATGGGTGTGCGCATCTTTAAATGATAGTGTCCAGGCATCCCATGCTAGTATTTGAAGATGCAAGTGCGGTGGTCTTTAAGGATGTGCACACCCCATGTGTGACATTCTCACATCACCTGTGCATTGTGGGAAATGATGGGGTAATATCAGTGTTCCCTATGGCAAGCTCCCTGCCTCCACCCCCAGACCAGCCCATCTCTTTTAGTCATCACCTTGCAACACAACCCCTTCCCACACATACTTCAGTGAGGATTCAGCCGCTGTAGCTCAGTGGAAGAGGATTTGCTTTGTATGTACGCATGCATGCAGAAGGCTCCAGGTTCAACCCCTCGCATCTCCAGGCACTGGGAATATCCCACTCCTGAAACCCTGAACAGCCACTGCTGGTCAGTATGGACAGATCTGAGTCCGATGGACTGATGGTTTGCCTTGGGGTAAAGTCGCTTCCTGTGTTCCTATAATTGCTCCTGTCCCAATCTGGGAACAGCACCCTGCGATCCTGTCGCCGTTCTCCTAACCACACATTTCCCAACGCATTACAGGCTATGCTGCAAGAAGCCTCACACCTGAAGTTGCTATCGAAGCCCTCGACACAGAGGCGAATCGGCTGATGAAATCTGCAGGACGTGTAAGAAAAGCTAAAACTTCAGTCACTTATGCAGCTTGCGGAATACTAATGCAGAAATAATATGCTGTACAAGAGACAGAAGGGAGAAGGGGGGGGGGGAATGAATGGCAATCCATTCTTACATATAATGCCTTGTCTGCTGATTTAAATGCAGAGAAAACTTAACCGCAGACTTAAGACTCCTTCACTTAAGCGACTCCTCCAAACTCCTGGTACTGTCTAACTGAAAAGCAATCTAGCATTTGCTCTGGAGGAACCGAGTTCAATGAGCTCACACTCCCTAGAAAGCTCACTCAGGATTGCAGTTTGCAGGATTGCAGGATTACTGTTGCCCATTGGGACTGGTAGGGTGGAAGGCAGGGAGGCTGACGGGAGGTGGATCCAAAGCCAATGGCAGGTGCAGCCAACTAATTTTGCTTTTGTCTCCATCGTAATTCTGGTATCGTCTCCATCCTTTCCCCTGCCGAGGTCTGCAAGGGGCAACACTGAGACTAAGGGGAGGAGGCTAACAGGTGGCAAGGGGGCTGGTTGTCAGCAGGAAGGCAGGCAGGTAGGGGCTGGCTGAGGTTGGTGGGGCATTGCCCCAGCCTCCCACTGAATCCTGTATACACTGACCGGGTAGTAAGTACTCCCAGTGCACATGATTGCACTGGAAAAATATGCACAATTAACAGCACTTGAGTGTCTGCCTAGAGGAGACAAGGAGACCATCAAGTTGCAGAATTACGAATGGCAATCAAGAGTCCATTTTATAAGGCCCTCCCCAGGACCCCACAAAGCAGGCATTAGCAGTGCCGCGCATATGGCTCCATGGGGCTTGCTCCCAGCTAAATGGGCACACTAGAATTACAGCCCAAGGCTCGACTTCCTGTGTTACATCACTCAGGTGTTAGATGCAAAGCAAAATTCACGTTAAAAAGAAAACCCAGTCTTAGCTTTGTTCTCTTGGAGAGCGTAAGATCGAGAGAGCAGTTGCCATTTTGCTTATTATCACACGTACTGCAATGCTGAAACATACATATATTCAACACATCAAAGGCTGCAAAATTACACATTCAGTTATGATGAGAAAAAGGGGTTCCAGCTCTCCCCACAACTCTTTTTTTTTTTAATCTGCCTTAAAAAGCAGACAGGACACAGCTTGATTTTATTTTTTACAAAGACACCCTTAACTTAGAAGTGCTTGACAAAAGAGTTAAAATCAAAGTGTGTTGATTTTAACCTTTCTAGGCTAATTCATTGTAGCAGTCGGGGAGAGGGGGGCAGGGGCTGGCTTACTGAAGAAGTTCCATCATGATGTCAACATATAGGTAGGGTTTGTGTGGGAGCAGAGATTATCCCATTCACTTCAATGTTAAGGCCAACTCTGAATGCCCAATGGGAAAAGCACACAGAATGAGAAAATGGGAGTTCCTGCGAAAGTTGAACTCTGCATGGGCAGGAGTACTCCAATGCCAGTGGACTGAAACTAGCAGGATATCACCAATTCCGAATTGTGCCCCCCTTTTTCTTTACAGATTTGCATTTTAGTTTACCAACTCTGCCTCCCCCTTTGACCGAGCAAACAGGAAATGCTGTCCATGATTATCCACAGTTCCTATTTATCCCCTTCCACACACATGATTCTCAAGTTAAATACTTGCGCCACGTAACTGTGTTACCTAACAGCATCCCTTTCAAAAGTCAAACATGTACACTTGTGCAAAATGTGGTTTGCTTCTTAAATACAGCCCAGCTTTTCCTGTTCAGATTTTTCTGTTTTGGATTTTGTGCAATAAATAAATAAATTGTTTTGGTGGTCGCTAGGGCGTGCTACGCAGCATCAACAAGCCTCTGCTGTATGAAAGCTGCAGCCAAGGCCTTCCGCACCCCTACAGCTCAATAGACTGCACTTTGCCAACCTCCCCTTCTCCCCTTTTCGGTGTGACCCATTCACATGGAGAGCTGTCAAATCTGCAGTTTGAACTGGTAGGTGCTCGTTTTCCACTGGTCGACGTCCGCGTTCAGCATGGTGCGCTCGGTGAAGGTGACGTGACCTGCCGCATCAATGAGAATAACTGTATTTGTCCTAAAGAGGAAGGAATAAGAACATCAAGAATGCTTCTAGGTAGACAAAGAAATAATACGATGTACTCAATTTTTATTTTTATGCTTTTAGGTTTGATGTTACTGTATAAATATGTTATTAGTATTTTTTTTCTTTTAGGAGGTAGCAAAGTGGGTGAAAGGAGAAACAAACCAGAAACGGAAGTTGGGGGAAGCCCAGGAGGGGAGGGAGGAAGGAATGCATAGTAAATGTTATGGATATGAAATGTATGTAATGAATGAAAAAGAAAAATGAGTAACTTTTTAAAAAGATTGCTTCTAGGTAACCAGCTCCTGGGATTCTAATTCTTCGCTCTTGAAAAAATAAAAATCCCCACCTTGCACAGTGAACCAAGCAGCAAGTTGTTGGGGTCAAAAAGGAAGGAGCGAAACAAATTCAATTTTCTGTTTTCACATTGCTAAATTCAGGCTCTTTGCTTTTGCTGCACTGCTAAGCCCACCAATGGTAAAAGTAAATGACCCCTGGATGGTTAAGTCCAGTCAAAGGTGACAATGGGGTTGCGGCACTCGTTTCAGGCCAAGGGAGCCGTCGTTTGTCCACAGACAGCTTTCCAGGTCATGTGGCCAGCAGGACTAAACCACTTCTGGCACAATGGAAAACCATGACGGAAACCAGAGCGCATGGAAACACCATTTATCTTCCTGCTGGAGCGGTACCTATTTATCTACTTGAACTTTGACGTACTTTCGAACTGCTAAGTTGGCAGAAGCTGGGACAGAGCAACGGGAGCTCACCCTGTCGTGGGGATTCAAACCGCTGACCTTCCGATCGGCAAGCCCAAGAGGCTCAGTGGTTTAGACCACAGCACCACCCATTCCCTGTAACACCTACCAATACAAAGTGATGGATAAGGAGAATATACCACCCCCCCCCCAAAATCCCCAAACAACTCCTTCTTCCCCCACCCCGTTTTGACATATTAAAGTTTGTTGTTTTTTTTTAATAATTTTTTTTTATTGCTTTTTTTCCAAGGTCAGAATACATCGTCAATAAGACAACAAAAGCGATTTTACAGAAAAAAGAAAAGATTATAAAGAAAAGATTCACTTTTTCAAATCTATTTTCATAATCAACTGGACTTCCCCACGTCTTCCATCCCCTGCTTTCTTTACAATAAAAATAAACAGCAAATTGATACCTTATTTTATGTGTTTTTGTACTTTCATTTAGTTATATAATCTATAATTTATACTTTTCAAAGTTATAACTTAATTTTCATCATTTACAAATCTCAATACCGAAGCATGTTTTTCCCCAAAAATTTAGCAAATTCTCAACATTCATATAACTTATAATGTTTTTGTAAATAGTCCTTAAATTTTTTCCAGTCCTCTTCCACTTCCTCTTCTCCCAGATCTCGGATTCTGCCGGTCATTTCGGCTAGTTCCATGTAGTCTATCAGCTGCGAATGCCAATCTTCCAGTGTGGGTAGCTCCTGTGCCTTCCAGTATTTAGCTAAGAGTATTCTTGCTGCTGTAGTTGCATATAAAAAGAAAGTTCTATCTTTTTTTGGCACTCTCTGGCCTACAATGCCCAAGAGGAAGGCCTCTGGTTTCTTATGAAAGGTGTACTTAAACACCTTTTTCAATTCGTTATAAATCATTTCCCAGAAAGCCTTCACCCTCGGGCATGTCCACCAGAGGGGGAAAAATGTTCCTTCAGCCTCCTTACATTTCCAACATTTATTGTCAGACAAATGATATATCTTTACAAGTTTGACTGGGGTCATGTACCACCTGTATACCATTTTCATAATGTTTTCTTTTAAGGCACTACATGCCGTGAATTTCATACCGGTGGTCCATAACCTTTCCCAGTCTTCAGACATAATGTTGTACCCAATGTCCTGTGCCCATTTTATCATAGCTGATTTAACTGTCTCATCTTGAGTATTCCATTTAAGCAACAAGTTGTACATTCTTGAAAGCACTTTCGTCTTAGGTTCGAGTAGTTCTGTCTCTAATTTTGATTTTTCCACCTGGAAACCAATTTTTTTATCCTTTTTAAAAATCTCTGAAATTTGGGCATAATGAAACCAGTCTCGCACCTTTCCTTTCAGTTTTTCAAAACTTTGCAACCTCCAGGTATCACCAACTCTTTCTATTATCTCGCAGTATTTTACCCAGCCACTCTCCATGTTACGTAGTTTTATGGCCTTAGCCTCCGTCGGTGATAGCCACCTCGGAGTCTTGCTCTCAAGTAAGTCCTTATATTTAGTCCAGACAATAAATAGAGCTTTCCTGACAATATGGTTTTTAAACAATTTATGGAGCTTTATCTTGTCGTACCACAAATATGCATGCCATCCAAAAGCATTGTTGAACCCTTCCAGATCTAGGACATCAGTGTTTTCTAACAAAAACCAATCTTTCATCCAGCAGAAGGATGCAGCTTCATAATACAATCTTAAGTCCGGCAGGGCAAACCCCCCTCTTTCCTTTGCATCTGTTAATATTTTAAATTTTATTCGGGGCTTTTTGCCCTGCCAGACAAACTTCGCAATGTCCCTCTGCCACTTTCCAAAACATTCCACTCTGTCCACGATCTGAAGGGTTTGAAACAAAAACAACATTCTTGGCAGTACATTCATCTTAACTGCTGCAATTCTTCCCGACAAGGAAAGCTTCAATCTTGACCAAATTTCTAAGTCCTTTTTAATTTCCGACCAACATTTTTCATAATTGTCTTTAAACAAATTCAAATTTCTCCCAGTCAGGTTAACCCCCAGGTATTTCACTTTTGTAACCACATTTAATTCTGTTTCCTTCTGAAACCCATCTATTTCTGAAGGTGTCAAGTTTTTTGCCAAAACCTTAGTTTTTTGTTTATTTAACTTGAATCCCGCCACCCGACCAAACTCAGAGATTAGTTCTAAAGCTCTTCTTGTGCTAGCTTCTGGCTCCTGTAATGTCAAAACCAAATCGTCTGCAAAGGCCTTCAGTTTGTATTGTTTTTCTCCGACCTGTATTCCTTCCACCTGCTGGTCCTTCCTAATCATATTCAGCAACACCTCCAGGACCGAAATAAATAACAAGGGTGATAAGGGGCACCCCTGACGTGTCCCTTTTTCAATTTTAAACTCCTCTGTCACCACATTGTTTACTATCAATTTAGCTTTTTGCTCTGAATAAATTGCTTCAATACCATTTTGGAACGCCCTTCCCACTCCCATCCCTTCCAAATTTTTCTTCATAAATTTCCAAGATATATTATCAAAGGCTTTCTCGGCGTCTATAAAAATTAAGGCTGCTTTCGTGTTCAAATTTGTCTGTAATAATTCCAAAACATCGATGATATTCCTAGTGTTGTCAGACAAATGCCTACCGGGGAGAAAGCCTGCTTGGTCTTTGTGAATTACTTCATTTAAAACTTTTTTCAGTCTGTTTGCCAAGATGTCAGCAAAAAATTTGTAATCCACATTTAGGAGTGAGATGGGACGGTAGTTCCTGAGTTGAGTCTTTTCAGATTCCAGTTTTGGTATCAAAGTGATGAATGCCTCTTTCCACGATTCGGGCGCCCCCTTCCCTTCCATAATTTGGTTACATACCTCCATTAATGGCTGGACCAAGTATTCCTTCAATGTCTTATAATATTTGGCGGTAAGTCCATCTGGGCCTGGGGATTTGCCTAATTGCATGTTTTGAATGGCACTTTCAATTTCCTGTTGTGTTATTTTGTAATTCAGGGTTGTTTGCTTGTCTTGTGTTAGTTTTTGCAGGCCATAGCTTTTTAAAAACTGGTTTATCTCAGTCTCTACTTGGGGTCCTTGAGTGAACAATTTTTTAAAATATCTCTGGAAACACTTTCTGATATCTTCTGGTTTCTGAATACATTCTCCTTCAACCTCCAGATTGGTAACGAAGTTCAATTTTTGTCTCTTTTTCAGCTGCCATGCCAGCAGCTTCCCACATTTATTTGCCGATTCGAATGATCTTTGTTTCATCTGTTTAATTTTCCATTCAACTTCTTGATTTATCAATTTCACATATTGTGCTTGATGGAATTTTATTTCTCTTAAAACTTCTTTTGATTTTGGGTTTAATCTCAACTTTTTCTCTCCGTCTCTTATCTTCTCCAAAATCTTGTCCTTTTTACCATTCCAGAGTTTTTTCTTGATGGAATTCTGCTGTATCAGGAACCCTCTCATAACAGCTTTACTTGCGTCCCAGATTGTTTTCTTTTCCACCAAAGTATTCAAATTTATTTCGAAATAATCTTTCAGCGTTTTTTGGGCCTTCTTCACAATCTCCTGATCTCTAAACAAATAGTCATTCATTCTCCATCTGAAGGATCCAGCTGGTGTAAGTCTCAGGTCTATTTTCAAAGCGTTATGGTCGGAGCAGGTTTTAGGGCAGATCTCTACTTTTTTTGTCTTAGGTGCCAGTCCTCTAGATCAGTGTTTCCCAACCGGTGTTCCGCGGCACACTAGTGTGCCGCGAGACGTTGCCTGGTGTGCCGCGGGAAAAATTAAAAAATTTGAAAGATATCCGGAGAGGCGGCCTTCAGGCGAGTTTTAATTTTAATTTTCCTTCTCCCACTTAATGCCCCACGCTCGCCCGAGCAGCTTGCAGTCCTCGGTAACCACGGCGACCCGAGGGAGGGGAGGGAACAGGGAAGTCGAGGGCGGCGGCGAGCCGCGATGACGTCAGTGGGCCGCGCCGCCTCGCCCTGGCACGGTGTGAGAGCCCCGGCTAGTGGCGCGAGCTTCAGAATAAGTGGGATCCGCATGCGCGAGACCGAGATCGCGGGTAAGGAGCTCAGCCCTGGGCAGGAGGAAGCGGGGCCGCGCGTGCGGGCCACATCCCCACAGAGAGCGAGCCTCCCCCAGCCAACCACTCCGGGCAGGTCCACTCGCATGAGGGGGCGGCGATGGCGACGGCTGGCAGCTTGCCTGCAATGCCATCCCTCGAGCAGGCGAGGAGCCCGGAGGCTACCAGATGCGAGTCCTCTTTCCCACCCTGTTCGGGAGTCCAGAGCACTTGGTCGCATTCAGGATCTAGAGTGGGGAAGCGGGGCTTGTGTCTGGGCTGGACACATTGGGCTGCCTGTGCCGCTCGACCTGCGGGGAGAAATCAGGGTGGGAGTCACGACCGTGAGGCAGGGCTGCCAAGTGTGGCAGAAGAGGACACGGCCGTCGCACCTGTCCTTAGGTAGGAGCTTCTTCCGTGTCGACCTGCTGCCCTAAAGTCTTGGCTTTTTTCTTGGCTTTTTGGCGGTTGGCACAGAAGGAAGGCAAGGGGGAGGGGAAAAAATTGAAACTTACACTTTCGTGCGTCCCTCCCGGCGTGACACTGCGCGCTGACGTCACGGGGCTGTAATGGTGGTGTGCCTCGAGATTTTTTTCATGAAACAAGTGTGCCTTTGCCCAAAAAAGGTTGGGAAACACTGCTCTAGATGCCCAAATTTGGTCGATTCTTGTCCACGAAAGATGGGTCTCAGAAAAGAATGTTCCTTCTTTACCTAGAGGGTTCTTTGTCCTCCAAATGTCAATCAAATCCATATTGTCTGTAAGTTCAAAGAAAGTCTTTGGAAGTCTGCCATCTTTGGTCAGATTCTGATTTTGTGACTTATCCATGTATGTGGAGACAACTCCATTCATATCACCCATCAAAATGATGTTAGTATAGTCAATATAGTCCAACATTGTCTCATGCAGCTTCTTATAGAATTCCGATTTCCCATCATTTGGTGCATAGATTCCTACAATCAAAAATTTTTCTCCTTGTGCTTGAATTTCAATCGCCAAAATTCTTCCTTGTTCATCTTTAAAAATCAATTTTGGTACTAGGGCCTCCTTTGCATAAATCACTACTCCTCTTTTTTTAACCTTGTCTGATGAAATAAATTCTTGGCCTAGTCTCTTGTTGATTAATACTCTCCTATGGAGCCTAGTCACATGTGTTTCTTGAAGGCAAATGATGTCTAATTGTTCTTTTCTCAGAATATGAAAAATCTTTTTCCTTTTTTCGGGAGAATTTGCGCCATTAATGTTCCAACTGAGAAGCTGCAGAGACATCTCGGACTAATTATTGGCCCACTGGGGTGTCTCCTTTGTCGTTCTTGTCTGGAGGTGGAACCGGGTTCAATCCAAACGAAGGAGGTGGCCAGACGCCTGCTGTTCCTTTCCGAAGGTCCTCCCCGTGGTCGTTTAGGAACTTTTCTTGCTCTTCTGCTGTTCTGATTCTTACCTTCACCCCTTTCAAAGTAAAAGATAGTCCTTGAGGGAATTCCCACCTGTAAGGGATTGTGTTGTTTCTCAGTAAGCTTGCTAGGTCTTTATATGTGGCTCTTAAATCTAGTAGTTGTTTTGGTATGTCTCTGAAGATTTCTGCCTTTTTTCCCTGAATCACCAATGAATTTTTAAAATGCAAGCCGAGTATGTTTTCTTTTTCTTGCCTAGATCTCAAAATGATCAGGCAATCTCTTGGTTTATCCTTCTTAGCCACTCTTCCTAATCTAAAGGCGGTGACAATTTTAAAGTCTTTCTCTTCTGCCAGACCCCAGAATTTGGATATTTCTGTTGTCAAAAATCCAATCAAGTCCTCTTTTTCTGATTCTGGGATGTTTCTAATTCTGAGATTATTTTCCCTATTTTTCAGTTCTGCAAGGGACAGGTACACTTGTTGTTCAGTAACCTGTCTACTCAGTGGTCTGACTTCCCCTCTTAATTCCTCTATCCTCTTTTTATTTTCGTCTGCTTTTGTATTTACTTCCTCGACTAATTTTCGATTTTCTGTTGTAGTCTTTTCAATATTACCTATCGCCTGTGTATTTTTAGTGACTTGGTCTGTCAATTTATTAATTGAGGCTGTCACCTGGTCAAATTTAGCAGCTTGCTCATCAAATCTAGCTGCTTGTTCATCAGCTTTCTTATTCAGTGCTGCCAACTGCTCCAATATTTCTTTAGAAACAGGATCTAGGCCTCCAGCAGCCATCTCTCCAGGAGTAGGCTGTATAGGTTGTCCTTCCTGCAGACCTGTCAAAATTGGGACAGATGATCTGCGTAGCTGCACAGGGAGAGTTGATTGCAAAAGTTCAGTTTGTTTTGCTTTCTTTGCAGCCCTTGTTTTTGCTGTACCACTCATTCCACAGCTGTCCCAGTGTCAAGGTCAAATTGTAAATCCCATGGGAAAAATAATCCCAAAGAAAGTAAACATCCAGACAAAAAAAAAAATATTCCAAGACCAGTAGCAGTTCTCAGAGACTAGTAATTCCACAATCCAGCAGGGGGAGCTCCCCAAAAATTAGGGAGAAGAATAGGAAATTTCCACCATTAAGTTCCCACAACAAAAAAAAAAGAAAAAAAAGAAAAAATTATCCAAAGCAGGGGGGGAACCCCTCACATTCAGTTTATACTGCAGAGAATAAAAGTTCTTTGCCAAGGTGCGTGCAACAGTTCCTTTTTACAACTTACAAAGTAGCCCAATGTAACTTAATAATTTTGTCTACAGTTACCGCAGTCCGATGTTACTTGTATCCGGTCAGACCGAGAGCAGGGTTTCAAAGCTTTGTAATCCACAGGGAAATAGAAAGAGGATCACAGTCTTAACTCACTTATAAAATTGTTGTATCCTTCCTTTAACTTTAATCAATCAAAGCCGAATTTGCAGAATGTTCCAACTCCTTTTAAGTTCCTTTCAGCGCTTCAGCTTTAAAGGGACTTTGCTCGATACTTTAAGCAGAGCCGGAAGACTGACTTCCTTTTTAGCGTCTCCCGCTTTCAGCCAAAATTCGCCAGATTAAGTTCAGATAAAACCTCAGGTTTCTTACTCACGAGTAGGTTGTTTCAATTCTGTTGTTCAAAGAAGAAAGGTCAGCGCCGATCAGCAGCAGCCGCGCGGCTTCACTTCCGCGGAAAGAGCGATGGATTCACAGCACCGCTACCCCCTCCACGTTCCAAGACCCCTTACGGGGTCTCTTCTGCGTTTCCGAGGTCGCTTCTGGTGCCCGCCGAACCCCACGGCCACGGGCTCACTCTACCCGTGGTTTCTCTTAGTGGGTCGTCGCTGTGCCGCAGCGCACGACCCTTTTCCGCGGAGCCCCTCTTCAGCAGCTGAAGAGGACCGCCATTGCTGAACGCGCCGCCTCCGGAAGTCCCCTTGACATATTAAAGTTTGGGGCAGATCTGGATAAACAGCCCCCCAAGTCTGCAAATTCACTTGCTGTAGACTCAGTGACTCTATAGCACAACCAATTACTTCTAGAGGAACCACTAAATCATTTAAACCAAATGTAATGGACGGCCACATTTTCTTGCGCAAGGGTTCTCCCTTACCTGGTTCCATAATCAGGGCAGCGGACGCATACAGCTGCATACTTGTTCAAGATGGGGAGGATGTAGTCCTTTCCTTGATCCTCAATTGCGGGATCTGGCAGCTGACTGGAGACAGAAAGCAAACCAAATGGAGGTGGCACAACTTCTGCTCCTTCCAGCACACGTTTCCCACCATAGATATTGAAACCTCGAGAGCACACAGTAACGTGATAAGCTGTCAAAATACCAGCAAGGACAGCCTCCCTGGGCTTGGTGCTCTCCAGATGTTGATGGACGGCAACTCCCATCAGCTGTAAGTCATCATGGCCAATGGTCAGGGGTGATGAGCACCAAGTGGACAAGGCCGTCAAGGGCAAATTACAGGAGATGTCCACCAGGTTTTACTTGGGTGCTTACTGACTTTATTGCTTGACTTCTGTTTTATTTTGATGGTTTTCCTATATAAGATTTGTTGGTTCTTAATATATGAGGTTTTAACAGCTACCTAAAAGGTAGTCTTCTTCCCCTCTTACATACCCTACCAATCACTTCGTTCTGCAGGAGAGGGCATCCCGTCAGGAGGCCAGTTCTGCATGATGGACAGAATCAGGCCTTTAGTGTGGTAGCAACACTGATGCTTTAGAACTCCCACCCGTTACATATCAAAGAGGCACTTTTCCCCATTTTCCCCCCTGCTTTTGCTAAAGACAACCCTCTTCCAACAGACCTTTATCCCCGCTGGTATCTACCGTATTTTTCACCCTATAGGACGCACCGTCCCATAAGGCGCACCTAGTTTTTTTGGGGGGAAATAAAGGGGGGAAATTATTTTCCCCCCCAGGCACGGGGCTGGGGTGGGGGAAGCCCAAGCTTCCCCCGACCCCAGCCCCCAGAACAGGTAACTCTCCGCAAGCCGCGGGAGCCCAGTGCAGGGCTCCCGCGGCTTGCGGAGAGGTGCGCGAAGTCTGGGTGCGCTGAGCTCAGTATGCCCAGCCTTCGGCATGCAGGCAACTCTCTGCAAGCAGCGGGAGCTCAGTGCAGGGCTCCTGCGGCTTGTGGAGAGGTGCGCGAAGCCTGGAGAGCGAGAGGGGTCGGTGCGCACCGACCCCTCTCGCTCTCCAGGCTTCAGCAAAAGCCTGCATTCACCCCATAGGACGCACACACATTTCCCCTTCATTTTTGGAGGGGAAAAAGTGAGTCCTATAGGGCGAAAAATACGGTATATTGAAGCTAAGCTGATTTTATGCATGTGCTGCTGTTACTTTAAACTGTTTATCTCTCTCTCTCTATATATATATAATGGTTTCAACTGTTTTTATACATGTAATTGTTTTGCATATGTTTTTGCTATACTATATATTGCTTTGGGATGCCTCATGGGAAGTAGATAATAAATTAAATAAATAAACGCATTGTGACTGCAACCTACTTTGGGAGTCTTTTCTGTAATGAAAAGCCGGCTGGAAATATTGCAAATAAATATTGCAAATAAATAAGTAAATATGCTTTTACACATACAAAAACCACCCATCCCTGGTGTGGAAGATAATGAGCCAGATGGAACAATTGCCTGGCACCATTACCAGGAAGCTTCCTATTTTTCTCTCTGCTAATGCAAGCAACCGTGTACATAAGAAGGAATTTAGTTCAATACACTTAAGACTGAAAGCATTAAAAAGCACAAGACGAAAAACCAATCATTTTCCCACAAGCATTCTTATTTACAGGCAAAGCAAAGGCTTAGAGTTGCCGATCCCCAGGTAATGGCTGTACGTTACAGCCAAGGCACAGACTTACGGGTCTTGGTTATTCATCACTTTAATGAGCTCTTGCACCAGATCTTCCTTCACAAGGTCCTGGCTGTGCCTGATGACATCCGTGAAAAGCTGCTTTCCATACTGAAGCTTCTTCCATGGTGTATCCAGCAAAGAATTGCTCAAGCCATATACCCCTGCATGGGAGGAAAGGTGATAAAAGCTTATGAAAGGTGAACTCTTTATCTGCAGTCATAGCTCAGCAGTACAGCATCTGAGCTAAGTGCAGGTGGTCTCAGGTCCCAGGCATCTCCTGGTAGGGCTGAGAATGTCCCTTGTCTGAAATCCTGAGGAGCTGCTGCCAGTCACTGGGTTGGTGAACCAAAGGTCTGACTTGGCATGTTCCATTTGACAATGAAATCAAGAGCTGACACACCATAGCAAACCACCCCCAACTCTCATTCACAGTTATTATGCGAGCGGACTGTTCAAAATTGCTGCTTTTGATGACATGCTCTACACATGAAAGAAGGCCCACTCTTGAGCAGTACAGTGGCACCTTGGTTCTCAAACGCCTTGGTATTCAAATGCCTTGGTTCCCAAATGCCGAAAACCCGGAAGTAAGTGTTCCGATTTTCAAACGTTTTCCAGAAGCCAAACATCCTATTCGGTTGTCCGCTATCATTTCTGGGGCGCCTGCACCAATCAGAAGGGGCGCCTTGGTTTTCAAACATTTTGAAAGTCAAACGGACTTCTGGAACAGATTAAGTTCGGCGCTTTTGTTCTTCCTATTTATTTTGCATTTTTGTTTTTGAGGCTTTTTCAGTTAATTAGTTTTTGTGACTGTGTGGAACCCAGTTCAGCTACTGACTGATTGATTGTGTGACTGTGGAAATGGATAAAACCCCCCATCCAAACAATGACTATCATCAGTGCAGGTAAGAAAATAATAATTTTTATCATCTGCAATACTGTCTTATTTATTTTATAGTACAGTACATTGATTATTGCTTTCATTTTATGCATCAATGGTCTGGTTAGATAGTAAAATTCATGTTAAATTGCTGTTTTAGGGGTTGTTTTTAAAAGTTTGGAACAGGTTGATTCATTTTGCATTATTTTCTATGGGAAAGGGCGTCTTGGTTTTGGAACACTTTGGTTTTGGAACGGACTTCCGGAATGGATTAAGTTTGAGAACCAAGGTACCACTGTGTGTCTGCATATATAAGGCCATCATGGAAGGACCGAGAGCATTGCACTTTTATGTTATACAGACAACTCCCCATTTATGCGAGTTCAAGGCATGCATGACCGTGCCATCAACCAGGAAGTGACACACAAAGGCGCCAAAACGGCCCCTAAAAGAGCATGAAAACAGCCAAAATGGCACAAACACAACATCAAGCAACCCCATGAGACTTTGCAAGTGCAATCCCAGGAGTCTTGCACCAACCTTTGAGGCCTTTGGAGAGCCGGAGTTTGAGAAAGGAGGTTTGGAGAGAGCAACTGTGGTGGTTTGGTTATTTGTTTTTTTTAAAGGGTTTACAAGGGTTTCCAGAGGTTTAGGAGGAGTTTAGAGGCTTTTTCAATGGTGTTCCCAATATTCACCTTGGGAACATAACCCCTGTGTAAATGGGGAGTTGCTTGTACTGCCCCTTATATGATGATTCCGGAGCTGGAGGCCTGTGGAAGTTCTTCAAGGAATTCCCCAATTTTGGATTGTATCCAATGTTAGTTCAACTCAAGAGCAGACCCAATGAAGTTAACAGGCAAGGCTAACGTAGGCCCCTTAGGTTCAGTGGGCCTATTCTGAGTAGATAGATCTTAGTTGGATACAACCCTTTGTTTAGATTTGCTTCCCTTTATAGAAATCAAGAGAAGGTCCAGCACCTACAGAGTAGCTATATTTGCTATTATGGTTTGTAAGATCAAACCGGGACGCGGGTGGCGCTGTGGGTTACACCTCAGAGCCTAGGACTTGCCGTTCAGAAGGTCGGTGGTTTGAATCCCTGCGACGGGGTGAGCTCCCATTGCTCGGTCCCTGCTCCTGCCAACCTTGCAGTTCAAAAGCACATCAAAAAGTGCAAGTAGATAAATAGGTACCGCTCCGGTGGGAAGGTAAACGGTTTCCGTGCGCTGCTCTGGTTCGCCAGAAGCGGCTTAGTCATGCTGGCCACATGACTCGGAAGTTGTACGCTGGCTCCCTCGGCCTATAAAGCGAGATGAGCACAGCAACCCCAGAGTCGGTCACGACTGGACCTAATGGTCAGGGGTCCCTTTACCTTTAAGATGAAGCATAAGCTGGTGACAGCCGGTTGTCATCCAATCCAAATGTTATGCTTTAAACTAGTGAGTAGGAACATTTTGCTCCACTTGTTCAGATTGTTCTAAATCATAATTTGTTTCATTGCACCTCTGTCCCACCTTTTTTTTTTTTTTAAACATAGTGGCACTCAAATTGGTTCAAAGGTGGTCTCCCATCTAGGGAGACTGACCAGATCCAAACCTGTAAGGTCAGTGCATCACGTGCCATAGCAATGCAAGCAGCTTACTTGAACTTTGCAATGTGGTGTTCTTTTTATCCTGTGTTATGACTTAAACAATAGAATTTGAACTCTGACCAAGTCAGTGTTTGCAACAGAATGCAAATCAAAACCAGGTTAATCTCAACCCAGAATTGTGTGATTACCTAGATTTGTTTTCTTTTAAATTTGCATTTCCCTGCCTTACAACCGTTGGCATTAAAGGGGAGGGGGGAAATTAACATATAAATTAAATGTTTAATATATAAATATTAGCATATATACCCACCTGATAGCTCTCAGGGCTGTCTATATATGGCATAGGGCAGGTGGTTTTAAAATAGATTCTATATCTGGAAAATCTCATGTTTATTTCATTTGGCCTTTCCCTACCTCCAACCCAACAATGTAATTACTTATTTTATTTTAGCATTTGGAAGGGTCCCTTTAAGACACTATGAGCCCACAAGGGAAAGAGGGAGATCCACCCTATCCCTCGACAGTAAAATAAATTGGAGCTGGGGGGGATAGGACGACTCGAGTGCATATTCTAGATACTTAGCACTGTATAACCCAAAATCGTCACCATTTCTAAAAGCTCTGCATGTTTGAAACACTTGGTCGAACAAGGTGTGCATCAATACACAGCGTGCTTGCTGGACCAATTGTACCAGGGCACAATATTCCTATTTTATGGGCACATTTGTAGCTGCCTTACCAGACACAGTATTCCTGAGCTGTGTTTTATTGGTTGTTTTCATAAAGGCTGCTGTGACATGCCATGTCCTGAATCGATGGAAATACAGTGGGGTTGGAGAGCCATGTATTAAATAAAATGCAAACAAGAAAATGGACCATCTCAGCCTCTACCATAGATGTATTCTTTTACACTGCTATGTAATGGTGAATGGTGCCCATTGGGTACTGGTCAGACAGAAGGCAGGCAGACCTATATTATTGTTGTTGTTGTTGTTGTGGTCAGACAGAAGGCAGGCAGACCTATATTATTGTTGTTGTTGTTGTTGTTGTTGTTGTTGTTGTTGTTGTTGTTGTTATTATTATTATTATTATTATTATTATTATTATTATTAGCATACCAGCCTATACCCATAGATCTAAGGGCAGTTCGCAATATAAAGTTACAATAAAAAAACACAAAGTACATAATAAAAACAAAGACAACCTGATAATTGCCCCGTCCACAACACATTTTAAAAGGGCATTAGATGTCATGTTAAAGATGTTAAAGAGGAATGTTTTCTCCTGGTGCTTAAAGGTATATAATGAAGGTCCCAGATGAGCCACCGCAGAAAAGACAATGGCAGGTGGAGCCAAACCCAAGGACAGGTGGAACTTGAGCCAATGACAGGTGGATCCAATTACCTCTGATTTTGTCCCCATCCTCTCCCCTGCTGACCTCTACAAGGACAAAACAGAGAGTGAGGAGGAGGAAGCTGGAAGTAAGTGAGACGGCAGGCAGGTGGGGGCTGGCTGGGGCACTGCCCCATTCGCCTTAATGCAGTGGTGGCCAAACTTGGCCCTCCAGCTGTTTTTGGTCTACAACTTCCACCATCCCTAGCTAACAGGACCAGTGGCCAGGAATGATGGGAACTGTAGTCCCAAAACAGCTGGAGGGCCAAGTTTGGCCACCACTGCCTTAATGGATCAGCTTCCACTGCTGATATGGCTCTGTGTATTTCTAGATATTAACAACACCTGGGCAGTTTTTGGGGATGGGGAATTAATATCGCAACTACCTCTCCACTGGCAAAATGAAAGCCCATTACAAGAGGGTCTTGCTGAAAGGGAGGGCAACAGCGTGCCAAGGGTCACTCTGTAAATTAGTTAAACCATGCCTAAAGAACACTCTAATGAAACTTGCAAAACACCCAACTGATTAGTCTCAATAATTGACTAAATAACTCATCACAGATCTTCTTTTCCTGCAGATTTCAACTGGATCAGTCCCTCGTGAGCCCTCTTCATTAATGAGTCCTCTTCAGTCATTATTAGCCTAAAGACTCATCCGCAGACCCTTATTACCACCATTCAATTAGCTAAAAGGCGATTTAAGCATCCTTTTATCTATGGGGAGATGTACATTAAACAGGGTTCAAATGTCTCTTGCTCTGTAAAGAAGAATAAGAGGAGGGGGAGAAAAAAAGCCTTTCATAAGCTCGTCCTGGATTGTTCCACTGAGTGACACCACAACTCTTAATTCTTCTTAGAGGGCCCTGAAGCCTTGGAATAGATCAAGGTTTCCCAAGCATGGGTCTCCAGCTATTTTTGGACTACAGCTCCCACCATCCATAGCTAGCAGGACCAGTGGTCAAGGATGATGGGAATTGTAGTCCACAAACATCTGGAGACCCATGCTTGGGAAACCCTGGTATAGACGGTGCAACCAAACCAATAAAACTATTACTCCAGAACGTCCAATCATAGCTAGGAACTGGTTCAGATACAGTGGTGCCCCGCAAGACGAATGCCTCGCAAGACGGAAAACCCGCTAGATGAAAGGGTTTTCCGTTTTGGAGGTGCTTCGCAAAACGAATTTCCTATGGGCTTGCTTCGCAAGACGAAAATGTCTTGCGAGTTCCTGCAGGGTTTTTTTCCTCCCTCCCCCCTTTTTCCCAAGCCGCTAAGCCGCTTATCAGCTGATCCGCTAAGCCGCT